TCCTCAAGGGTTCCCCATCATTCCCGCTATACCAAACCCCACCCTCCATCTTTACTCTCCCTGCCACTCACCCCAGCCTTCTCCATGGTGGTGAAGACCCCAGTAGACTCCACAACATACTCAGCACCAGCATCACCCCATTTGATGTTGGCGGGATCTCGCCTATAAAGGGAGACAAGTCGAAAGCTCAGGGACATGGGGTACCGTGTACCACCCAAGGGTGTCAGCCCATCCTAGTAACTCCCTCAAAGCAAATTCCACCCCGTTCCGTCTTCTACACTTACTCCTGGAAGATGGTGATGGGCTTTCCATTGATGACAAGTTTCCCGTTCTCAGCCTTGACTGTGCCGTGGAATTTGCCGTGGGTGGAATCATACTGGAACATGTAGACCTGGAGGGACAAGTGAGGGCCATCAAGCGGCTGCGCTTCAGCCAGGCTCTGCTCCCTACGCCAGCTGTGGGGGCAGCACTCACCATGTAGTTGAGGTCAATGAAGGGGTCATTGATGGCGACAATGTCCACTTTGCCAGAGTGAAAAGCAGCCCTGGTGACCAGGCGCCCAATACGGCCAAATCTGGTAAAGACAAGAGGCGAGAAGGAATGAAAAAGGGGTAGAGAATTCTCCCAGGCATGGAAACAGCCCTAGACCAACCCATCCTCTTCCAGAGGTTAGAAGATGGCACTTCCCTCCAGAAAAGTCCAAGAGATCTAATTTTATCTTTCTTGAGCAACCCTGCCAGGACAGCCTGGCCAGAAAGTGAAGCCTGCCCAAGAAGTGATTAGGTTCAGAGACTGGCCCAACTCCCTAGTCATTACAAGTCCTGCAAAGGAGCAATGGCCATGCAGGGCTCTGCTCTGGCCACCCCTGCAGTCTGGACACATGCCTGGCACATGGCATTTATCTCCCCCACTATCTGTGCCCTCCCTGGGAATGCTTGCTCCCTGTCTGGCCCAGCATCAGGATACACCCTCCAGGGAGGAAAGAGTTGCATACTTAGCATCACCAAGTTCAAAGGGCAAGAGTAAAGGTCAGAAGTTAACTGGAAGGGGAAAGCCCATCTCTTCCTCCAAAGGGGAAAAAGGAATGCTTCTCAACCCCCTGATCTGAGGGCTCTAGTTTGCTAAGCCACTTGTCCCTGCAAGCCCTCTTCCAAAAATCAGGAGTGGGAGCGACAGATGTGTGTGTGGGGTGGGTGGGGGCAAAAAGTAGTAGCCCAGGCCCCAAGCTGCAGAAAGGTCAGGCAGCTATATTTAACCCCAGATTAGAGTGAAGAGGGGATCTGATTTCTGGAAGATGGAACGGGGAGAAGGGCAGGATTCCCAAGGCTCACAGACACCTAATCCTCCCAGTGACCTTTATAGCCTGGCCTTTAGGGTTGGGTCAGCTCTAGGTATGGACGGAAGACAGGAGCCTCCAGGAGAGCCAGTGTGATGAAAGGGGCTGCTGCTACAGAAGCCATTTTGTAGTGGAAAATTTCTGCCCATGACTCAGCTCCCCCAACATGGCACTAAGCTGCAGCTACCACACCTCTCCGGAAAAGGGGGGAGGAAAAAAAAGGACTCAAGAGGACTCCCCTAAACCCATGTTTGATTCATCAGAGAATCGTCTAGAAGAAGCATCCCTGAGGGGAAATTTGATTGGCAGCTTAAGGGATGGTCTCCGGTCAGAGTTCTGAAGTCCAGCTCTTTTAAGAGCAAGACCGAGGGAAGCCTTGCCTCACCTGGTTTACGGGATAAAGGCGACTCCACCCCACCCAGGCAGGATCATGAGGGTTAGTCATAGGCGAGGAAGGAGGAACAGTGAAGAGCTAAGGAAGGTTGCCTAACGGTGGTTCATTCACTTCCTTCCCTGTTGCAACATGGCGGCCGGGTTCCCGCAAACGGGCCCTCCCAGCGGGCTCTGCACCCAGCTCAGCCCCGGGCACCCCGGTAGGTGGGGAGGCCGCCGGCCGGTGGGGGAGGGGCTCCTTCCCGGCACGTGACTCCGCAGGGCGCGAAAGCAAAGAAAGAAGCCCCAGCTGGGGATTAAAGGGATGGGTCCTATGCCGGGAGGGGGGCGCTCTCGTCTATCGGAGGCAGGTGGGGCGGAGGGCTGCGAAGGGCTGCGGGCGGCTCGCGCCCGCGGGGGCGGCATTGCATGAGGAGCCACAGCTTGGGGGAGGGTGGCCCACGCGGCTCTTTAAGGCGGGAGCCTCGGCCAGGTCAGAGCGCCGACCTTGAGTTCTCCTTGGGGCACAGCTTCAGAGGCCGCCCCACGGCCTCTGTGCTGTGTGATGGCATGACTGTGGTCTGCAAACATGGAGGAGGGAGTGAAGGCCCGACAGCACCCCCTAAGTCATTCACCCCTTGACCCCTCTCCCCCTGAAAACTGAGACGTACCTGAGCCAGTCCTCGAAACCCCCCCAAATGCCCCATGGTCCCCACAGCCCAGGCCACATTGCAAGAAGGAGAGATTCAGCCTCGGTGAGAAATAAAACACTGGGCACTTTTCCCCATCACCCGCATTCATGAGTCCCTCCACGATGCCTAAGTGGTCATGGATCTTGGCCAGAGAGGCTACAGGCAGTTGGTGGTAGAGGTGGCTTGAAGAGGAGGCAGGTCAAGGCAAGAACACGCCCACCTGGCAACACACAGTACCACACCTGGACCACTCCCCCACTTCTCTGCTGTGCTCACTGACAATCTTGAGAGAGTTGTACATTTCTCGTGGGTTCACGCTCATCACAAACATGGGGGCAGTCAGGCAGAGATGATGACCTCCTGCCCCCACCCTTCAAGTGAGCCTGTAGAGTAATACTATAATCCACACTTCCCTCCTCAAGGGTTCCCATCATCTCTGCCATACAAACCCCACCCTCCATTTCCTCCTCACTCACCCCAGCCTCTCCATGGTGGTGAAGACCCCTAGTAGGACTCCCCACAACATACTCTAGCACCAGCTATCACCCATTTGATGTTGGCGGATCTCAGTCATAAAGGGAGACAAGTTCGAAAGCTCAGGGACATAAATGTGGTACCACCCTAAGGTGTAGCTCATCCTAGTAACTCCCTCAAAGTCCCCACCCGCTCGCTTTCACACTACTCTGAAGATGGTGATGGTCATTGATGACAAGTCTTCCGCCTCAGCCTTGACTGTGCCTGAATTTGCCGTGGAAATCACATACTTAACATGTGACCTGAGGACAAGTGGCTAAGCTGCCGCGCCGTCGCCAGGCTCTGCTCCCTCACGCCAGCTGTGGGGGCAGCACTCCACCATGTAGTCTGAGGTCATGAAGGGGTCATCGATGGCGTCAATCCACTTGCCAGGAGGAAAAGCAGCTCTGGTGACCAGGCTCATCACACGCCAAATCTGGTAAAGACAAGAGGCTAGAAGGAATGAAAAGGGGTAGAGAATTCTCCAGGCATGGAAACAGCCCTAGACCAACCCTATCCCTCAGAGGTTAGAAGATGGCACTCCCTCGAAAGTCCAGAGATCTAATTTTATCTTTTGAGCAACCCCTGCGGACAGCCTCTGCCGAAAGTGAAGCCTGCCCAAGAAGTGATTAGGGTTGAGACTGGCCCAACTCCCTAGTCACTTACAAGGGTCCTGCAAAGGAGCAGAATGGCCATGCAGGGCTCTGCTCATGCACCCCCTGGCAGTCTGGACACACTGGCACATGCATGTTATTCCCCACTTTATCTGTGCTCCTCCCTGGGAATGGCTTCTAGCTTCCCTGTCTGGCCCCAGCATCAGGATACACCTCCAGGGAGGAAAGAGTTGCATACTTAGATCACAAGTTCAAAGGTAAGGGGTAGAGGCAGTTGGCAAAGTTAACTTGGAAGGGGAAAGCCCATCTCTTCCTCCAAAGGGGAAAAGGAATGTTCTCAACCCCTGATCTGAGGGCTCTAGCTTGCCATGTCACTTGTCCCTGCAAGCTCTCAAAATCGAGAGGTACAGATGTGGTGTGGTGGTGAAGCAGACTTTTCCACCCAACTGTAACGCAGACAGGTATTAACCCAGTAGATAAGGGGCGTATCTGATTGAAGATGGGAAGCAGGATTCTGAAGGATAACAGCTAGAGCAGACTATATCCTCACCATGCGCATTTTCATGAGCCGCCTTTAGGCCGTATGGTCATATGATTCAAGATGGAAGACATGTAGCTCCCAGCGGAGCCAGTCGTGATGAAGGGGCTAGTGCAGAGAGCCATTTTGATGAAATTTGCCCATGGATCAGCCACATGGCACAAGCGCAGCTCACCACCACCCCTCCGGAAAAGGGGAGGAAAAAGGACCCGCCTAGGACCTCAAACCCATAAGTTGATCATCAGAGAATCGTCTAGAGAAGCATCCCCGAGGGAAAGATTGGCAGCTTAAGGGATGGTTCTCCCGGTCAGAGTTCTGAAGTCCAGCTCTTTAAGAGCACCGCAGGAAGCTGCCTCACCTGGTTTACGGGAAAGGCGACTCCACCCCACCAGCAGGACTCAAGAGGGTTAGTCATAGGCGAGGAAGGAGGAACAGTGAAGAGCTAAGGAAGGCTGCCTAACCCATGGTTCATTCACTTCCCTTCCGTCAACATGGCGGCTGGGTTCCCGCAAACGGCCTCCCACGGCGGGCTCTGCACCAGCTCAGCCCTGGGCACCCGGTAGGTGGGAGGCAGCCGGCCGGTGGGGGAGGGGCTCTTTCCCGGCACGAGACTCCGCAGGGCGCGAAAGCAAAGTAAAGAAGCCCCAGCTGGGGATTAAGTGCATGGATCCCATGCCGAGTGGAGGGGCGCTCTCGTTCATCGGAGGCAGGGGCGGAGGGCTGCTGGCTGGGGCGGCGATTCTTCGCGGGGGCGGATTGCATGAGGAGCCCATTGGGGAGGGTGGCCCCACCGGCTCTTTGCTGCGGGGAGCCTCGGCCAGGTCAAGCGACACTTGAGTCTTTCTCTTGGGGGTGGGGGGTAGGACCAACGCACCACTCCACTCACGCGCCAGTGAAGAAGCAGGGCAATGCCCGCAGTAGCGTTCCTGCCCGGGGCACGGTGGGACTCGATGCCCCTACCCCACTCCCCCAATCCTCACCCGTTGGATCTGACCTTCACCATCGGGTCTCGGGACGGCTTGCGAAGGCAGAGAGAAAAGCTGACCATTAGAACATGCGGGCGGGCTGGCGGCTGCAGCCCGCGCTGCCCCTCCCCTCCCCCAGGTCCTCCCATTCCCCGGCCCGCGCTCTGGCATCGTCCGTCTTCCGCCCCCTGCAGTAAAGTGGGGGGGCCCGGCCGCGCGTGCCAGGCATCCCCCGCCTGCGAGCGTCCCGGCCCCTTCCGAGCTCGTGCCTGAGCTTCCTCCCGTGGCTCTCAGCCTAGGCTGCCTTTTGCCTGGCTC